CAATTCAAAAATATATTATTTAACTACGAAAAATATATTAATTAACTAATACTTTAGAGTAATCAACTACTAAATTAAGTCGAAACAAAAATTATAGAAACATCAAAATCAAATATCGAAACATTATACATCTCTAATAGATTAGGTAATAGAAAAATAAACGAAAAATCTCCAGGTTAGAGAATAGATTGATAGTGGCCGAACAAAGAAGCACCACCGCAATACTCCCAAGCCCAATTATATGTGGCAAAACAAAGAACCAATAAACATATTAAAAAATAAATTTAAAATTGTAGTCGATTACCGTAATCAAATAATAAAATATTTTTATGGATCCAACCGAGTTCCAACAAAATGTACGACGCACCAAACATCGTCCGTACTTTCCTCCTCAAAACCAGCAAACCACTCCTCCCCGTCGCTCCGCTCCCGCTTCCGCTCGGAGCCCCGTCGCCAACCTTCGCCGGCTTTCTCTTAAAATGGAGATTAAAAATGACAAAGTACTATTTTGAATCATATTATAATAAAAGACTGTCCAAATGGAGATTCTCTTAAAATGACAAAGTACTATTTTATTAAATTAATGATCAAAATTATATTACGTAAATAAAAATATTTGGAGTCATATAGAATATAAAACTATACCCAAATGAAGATTCTTATAAACTGACAAAATATTATTTTGTTAAATAAATTTTAAATCATTTAACTAAAAAGCAAGCTTTTAATTTACTGTCCCAGTTAGTATTATGTAAAATTTGTTGTGAGGAGGCCATTATGAACTTATTTCACAATATTTTTTTTTCAATGCTTGTAAGGATTTTCTAATTTGAAGTGAGTGACACTAATAACTTCAAGGTTTTCGGTTTCCAGCTTTGATACTTATGTCCAGCCTAACACTGAGGATCGTAATTGGAATGCCCTGCATGCTTGGTCTTTTGATCTATAAATTTCGAAGAAGGCATTTGTCAATGTTCGACGTAATTGAAGGCTTCCTGCAAAGTAACACAAATCTCAAAACAATCCGCTATACATACTCAGATATGAAGAAAATCACAAAAGGCTTTCGAGAAAAACTAGGCCAAGGAGGCTACGGTTCTGTTTACAAAGGAAAACTTCGAAGCGGCCACGATGTAGCGGTTAAAGTACTTGCTAAGCCTAGCTCAAATTGGCAAGATTTCATCAATGAAGTAGCCACAATTGGAAGGATCCATCATGTTAATGTGGTTAAACTTGTCGGGTATTGTGCAGAAAGATCCAAACGCGCCCTAGTCTACGACTTCATGCCTAATGGTTCGCTCGAGAAGTACATATTTAATAAGGAAAAAGGTAATTCACTTACTCTGAAGAGGAAGTACGAAATTGCAATTGGAGTGGCTCGTGGAATTGAGTATTTGCACAGAGGATGCGACATACAAATCCTGCATTTCGACATAAAGCCTCACAACATACTTCTTGATGAAAATTTCACACCTAAAATATCTGATTTTGGTCTGGCAAAGTTTTATTCAACAGATAATACTACAGTAACTCTCACTGCAGTTAGGGGAACAATAGGCTATGTGGCTCCCGAGCTAATGAATAGAAGCATTGGCGGAGTGTCTTACAAGGCCGATGTTTACAGCTTTGGGATGTTGTTGATGGAAATGTTGGGGCTTAACAAAGGGACGGGGCCTAATATTGAAAACAAATCGAGCCAATATTTTCCGTGTTGGATTTACGATCACTTGAATAAAGGCGAAGACATTGAAATTGGAAATGTGTATGAAAATAATGATGATGAGGAAAATGAAGACGATGACGATGGGAAAAAAATGAGGAGAAAGATGACGATAGTTGGATTGTGGTGCATACAGATGAGTCCAACCGATCGCCCGTCAATGAGCGATGTTTTGAAAATGTTAGAAGGTGAAGATGAAAATATGATGATTCCTCCTCAACCTTCACAGTCATCTGAGATTCCATGCTATGATGACCAGACTTGGGAAACTGAATCCGAATCAACCGGTTCTGTAGCCTTGCTGCGTAATGATTCTTTAAGTTTTCAATAAGAATTATAAATAAGGATATGACATTAGTATGATTGTGGTATTTACTAATATATTATCTTTGTTTTAATCATTTATTTTTGTATAGCAGAGAATTATATTTCTTCCCATGTTCTTTTTCTTTTAATTTGATTATATATATATGTATATATATATATATATATATATATATATATATCTATCTCTCTCTCTCTCTCTCTCTCTCTCTCTCAATAAGAGTTATATATATGGATATGACACTAGTGTGAGTGTGGTATATACAAATATATAATCTTTGTTTTAAACACATATATTTGTATATTTTTTTTTTTTTTTTTTTCTCTCTCTCTCTCTCTCTCTCTCTCTCTCTATATATATATATATATATATATATATATATATATATATATATATATATATATATATATATATATATATATATATATGAGTAAAATGCAAAAAATACCCCTGTGTTATCTTAAACTAGCAAAAAAACCCCTGTGTTAATTAAACTAGCAAAACCCCCCATGAAATTTTTTAAGTAGCACACTCAGCCCACAATCCATTTGAGTGTTGACCAGCTGTGAAAATACGTTAATACCCTTGGGGATTTTTGCAATAATAAAAGGGGTAATATGCCATAAGTCCCTCAAACGAAACCCAATTTGAACTAAATGACAAGTTCAAATCCAATCTTTTAATTAAATCCTTAGATGTAAATAATATATGAACAACATCCCTAATTTTTTTTTTATTCCTATCTTACCCTTATACCCTAAACATATAACTGTTGCGTCACGTTCTCTCTTGCCGTTCTCTCTCAAACTCACGTTTGCTACCATCTCCATTTTTCTCTCCTCTCTCTCTCTTCTTTTTCTCCATAGCACCATGAAGGCCGCCGCCGCCGGCGACGGAGGGAGAAGGAGCAGGGGCGGCGAAGAGCGTCGTGGGAGAAGGAGCAGGGGCGACGGGTTTTTCTTCGATTTGCCGGAATCTTCACTACGCGAAGAGGTTTTTGGCGATGAACCGTGAGCACAGCCAGATCGATGCGCCGATGCCGCCGATTGATTTTGGGGAGATTGAATTGGGGATTGTGAGGGGGTTCCGTTGATTGTAAACTCAATTTAATGTCGATTTGGAAGATTCCATTTAAGATGTCTGCGTATAGGGCTACTGAGAGGGAGAGGGCTAACGTGAGCCAGAGGGAGAACTCTGAATCGGGAAGCGATGGGGCTTCCACTTGCGACGAGAGCGTCGTTCCGGTGGAGGATCCGTTCACTTCGCCGTCGGGGAGGAAATCGTCGCTGCCCGGAAATTATGACCAGTAAAATCTTTATGTCGAAGAAATCGATGGAAGTCAAAACCCCCAAACAACCAGGTAATTATTTTTCTCGTGTGTGTGTCTGTGTGTGAGAGAATAGAGAGGGAGAAAATAGAGATAGATTAATAAAATAAAATGATAAGAAAATTTGACGGTAGATACGGCGAAGGGGAGATTGAGTCGCATACTCCGACGGGAAGAACGATGAGGATGAATTCGGAGAGCCAGCTACGATGATGACGATGAGTCCACGAACACGGAGAAGTTCCGGACACGCCTCCGATTCTGAACTGCCATAGTATATATACATATATATGTAGATATAAACATATGAAGTTGGAAAAAGATGATGATTATAGAACACTTCTATTTTGACTAGTGTCTCAATTATGCAGTGTTGAGCTTCTTTTTTTTTAGTTGTTTGTTTTTAAATTTGTGATGAACTGAGAGTTATATTCATAATTTATTTTTTTCTAATCATTCATTTCAATTTGAATTTTAAGTTATCTGGAACACAATATTGCAATAATTAGCTACTAACTTGAAAATTAATAATTGAACATGGTGACGCGGTGTTGGGCATGAGGATAGCGTTCGCTGTTTTGCGGCCCTTGTGGTTGGGGATGGTGCCGGTGACGCAGCGATGAAGGGGGTGGGGGATGGCGACGGCAATGTGGGTGGGGTTTGTGATATCTTTAGCGGCTTCACGTTGGCTTTAGCGGCTTCACGTTGGCGTTCGATTTCATGTCTACAGTTGTCTATGGGTGTCTATGGTGTCTAGCGGCTAGGATTCAAAGGAGGAGTTAGGGTTTTAAGAATATTGTGACTACGGAGTTCGATTTCATGTCTACAGTTGTCTATGGTGTCTAGCGGCTAAGATTCAAAGGAGGAGTTAGGGTTTTAAGAATACTGTGACTACGGACTACTACAGTTTTCTACGGGTGTCTCTACGTGACTACGGTCTACTACAACTTTCCTACAATTTTCTGTAGATGACTATGGCTGAAAAAAATTTAAAAATTCATAATATTCAATAAAATGCTGAAAAAAAAGGAAAAGATAGATTATTATAATTATGAAAAAATACGAAAATGCAGAAAAAAAAAATGTTCGACGAAAAAAAATAATAACAAAAATGCTAGATGTAAAATTTAAAATATTAAATGCAGAATGAAAATAATAAAAACAGTTTAAATATTAATTTCTGCAAATTTTATTTTTTGTGTATGAGGGGTATTTTTGGAATGAAATTTATAAAGGATGTCAAGCAAATGTTTAGTTTGACTTGTCATTT